GCATCCCTGCCACATCTCCTTTGCACCCTCATTGTGGGTGCAGGTCACGTTGCTTCCAACAGATCAATAGCCAGGTGATGTACAGGCTTGACTGAGTAGATAGATGCTGTACGTGCGAGACAAATTACACCAGCAGTCGTGTGCTGTGTGGGTGGGAGACAGACAGGCAGGAGACCCAGCCTAAAATAGGTGGCTTCACTCATTCCTCTGGGGAAATAGCTTCTCATCGAGCCAGGGACATGCCAGGGGTTCGAAAGGAGCTTCCCAGTCTGTGACAGGGTATACTTGGAGACTGCTGGTGTAAGTGCTGGTGAAAAGCTCAAGAAAGCCTTTTTTTTCCTCTAGATGATCTCAGCTGGCAGCTGGAGGAGCTGGTAGGACCACAGGCAGCCCCATGTGTGGATGGTGGTCAGGTTGCAGCAGGTCAAGTTCCACGTTCTGATGCCATGACAGGGTGCTGGATCCCACCCCAGCCGTGCAAAGCGAGCCCAGGGGAGAGCTGAGAGGGACCACGCTGGCCAGGGATTGTGACTTATTTAGGAAAAAAAAAAAGAGTTGAAAAAGAGTTTACTGCTCTTTGCTGTGTGCCACTGCTGGTGCGTGGCTGGAGACCTGGAGCAGCTGCTCTGGAGCAGCACTCAACATGTAGGAAGCCACATCCCATTTTTATTGTTTCACTGGTTGAATGTTATGTTTCATGGTTTTGTCCCCTCATCTTGGAGTTAGATCTTGGCCTTTTTTTTTTTTCCCCCACTTGTTTGTAACTGAGACGTGAAATACAACGTGTCCCTTTTCATAATGATCCTAATAATGCTTTTTTTTTACCCTAAGGGATCCCCAGGCACTTTACAAATTAGGTCTCAGGCACTGGAATCTCCAAAGAACAGCTACTTTCAGGATGAAATGTGGATGTTGTTCTTCTGAATTATGAGAGGAAAAAATACATTTTTTTTTTTCTCTGCTCAATATTCTTTCCCCTTCCTTCTGATTGTATTGAGTGACTGGAAAAGAAGGGGAGCCCAGATGACCTGTGCCTGGTGCTGGAAGCCCACCACACCCCAGGACTTCAGAGAGCTGAGACTCACATATGTCTTTCCTCTGTCTTCAGGCTTCTTGAGTTTATATTTGGGGCAGAGGAATTGCTCTTTTATCCCAGCTGTTTCTCACATCCAGCCTGCAGCCCCCAGTGCAGGTGGCTGAAGTCCATGCCGACATCTCGCTGTGCTCCCAGGAGCTCCCACCAGCGCTGGCGTTGGCCCTGTGCCCCTTGCTGATGGCTGGCTTTCCGTCAGCCTCTCCCTTGGGGTTTTTTTGAGTGTTCTGGTGAATTCTCAAGACATCATCTGGGGAGGATGTGAGGAGTTGGTAGAGTTTGCCTTTGGGCATTGTCAGATGCGTTGGTCCTTCGCTGACGGGCTGTCCCTACCTCATCCACCTTACCCCTTGTCCCACTTAACTGGGAGTTTTTTCAGGCTGAAGGGAGAGGAATGGTCCCATCTGGGAGGAGTGGCTTGGGGAAGAGTAGTTGGAGAGCTGCTCAGCAGAGAGGGACCTG